ACAAGCGGCTACTCTATGAGAATGCCATGTCCGATGTTCGAAGGCATAATTGAGGAAAATGATAATACAAAAACGGTCTAAATGCCCATCTCAAACACCTACAAAAGTAACCAAGAGAACGTAGAAGGTCCTGCGTAAGATAAGCCGGCAGCCTTGCAAAAAAAATCGAATAACGGATATCAAGATGAAACGAGGCATGCAAGACTGGAATGTTATGCACGAACATTGGCAGCACCCTGTCCAGGTGTCTGTACTGTCAACTGATATACAGGGTAATAAAACAGCCTTGCTGAACAGCGGATTGGGCATATTCCTCACAAGCCGCAATACTAATTTCATTATCATCCACTGTCGAAGATAGTCCTTTCATTTATACTCACTGTAAAACCCAGCTCAGCCCTGACATTAAGGGTTGCCGACTGAGGAACCAACTTTGTTCTCCCCGGAACGAGGGGCATACAGCAGCGGGTCTTAATAATAGCTATCATGGTACACCCATTTTCGTGGAAGCAAAGCCTATATGGTGCATGCACAAGTCAAGGTCTAAGCATCACGTCAGATGTTGTTTCCATTCTCTTAAGCAGAATTCGTCTCTAATAAGCTCTTGACGCATTACATAGGGAAAAGAGAGCAATTGATATAATTATGGAGTTAGCGTATAGTTTTCCGTGGCAAAAAATAAACAGGTTTAATTTCCCGATCTGCCAACAGTCGCAATCTGGAAGGTTTCGAGGCTATGTGACAACTCGCTTTTGACCAAATTGAGGGCCAGGCTCAGCACTTATAGATTCGGAATGGAGACCCTCGTGAAAAAGCATAAAACTTTTGCTGAATTATAGATGGTACGCCGCCATGTGAAAAAAGCTGTGTGAAACTTCAGGATTTTTTAATATTTCCAACCACAGCCTCTAAACATACCTCCAACTGTTTTAACTTTGGTTTGTCATTGAAAGAGTATTGGTTCAAGGAAAACTAAAATTTGTGCGCCGAAATTCTGCCACACTATAAAACAACTCACACACGAGTCACCACTGTACCCAACCCGGAACGGAAATGCTCATCGTTATACGTGATGAACCCTCGGCAGACGCTAAAGGAATTATTAAATATACGTCGGCCAATGTGCTAAATCTCATCATTCACATTCGGCCTAACTCATTCAATAGGGCTATGGTGAGTCTTGCCCTAAGCTA